TGAAGTGTAAGTTTTAAAATTTAAATACTTTATTAGGAGCAGATTAAAGAATTATTTTGTGTGTGTGTGTACTACTGCTGAGTCTAAAGTGACTCAGTAGGTATTTTGAAAAAAAAAACCAGCAACCATGGGTGATTACTGGCAATGTTAGTTTACTTCTGTCCAAATGCATGGAGTACATTTATGTTGCAATTTAACTTTTCATAATTTTTTTTTCAATCTTTCATGTGTCATAATTTGTTCATCTAAACAAATATGCACCTTGAGATAATAAAACAATGTAGGCTCAGTAAAAAATGACATAAAAAATATTCTTATTCTGTTATTTTTGTTTTTCATTATTCAACTACTGTTTTAATCTACTGTTGCTAATCTTAATTTTGTTTTATCATTAAGCATCACTGTCAAAGCAGAGATCCCAAAACACTTCTTTCCATGAATTTGTACTTGGGACTTTTACTATGCACTTTTACTATGCCACTGGGCGTCAAAGAATTTGCCTAGAGATTGTTTAGACTACATTAACAGTAACATTGCAGCTGTAATTTCTTCAATGTAAGAAATATTAGTTTCTTCTTTTAGGAACAAATCCCATGTCAACACTACCATAGCATTAGGAGAGCAGAATTTGTGATTATGCCTAGTATTTATCCTTCCTTCTCATGTTTAAAAATTGATGAAGTAAACAAATGCTCTAACCTCCCATCTATAAACTCCAAGTAGCTACAGAATCAAATCTTACAGCTGTAAACAAACAGGAAAAGTTCTTACTTGGAAAATTAGCCAGGAGCCATTATGTTTGAAATCAAATCTAGTCTCAGGAGGACAAAACAGTATCAAACTTCCTCTGCTTTGCCAACTTGATCCTTAAACAAGCTTGGGCACAGAAGGATGCTGGAATTGCTATATCTTTTTTTTTCCCTGCACATTTTGAATTTTTTTGACAGATACAAAAATAACTCCAGGTGACGCATGATACAGGCTAAACTGCTTCATGGTACCCTCAGCCTAATTAAGAATCATAGAATCATAGAATCGTAGAATCGATTGGGTTGGAAAAGACCTCCGAGATCATCGAGTCCAACCCTTGGTCCAAATCCAGTCCATTTACTAGATCATGGCACTCAGTGCCACGTCCAATCTGCGTTTAAAAATCTCCAGGGATGGTGAATCCACCACCTCTCTGGGCAGCCCATTCCAATGCCTGATTACTCTCTCTGTAAAGAACTTGGTGCTTCAGCAAGGATGACAATGAAGAAGAATATCAGAGAAAAATTTACTGCCATACTCAAGTCTAAAAAAGGAAATTCCTCAAAACCTTGAGCTTTATGACAATTTACAAAACTTCAAATAAATTATTTTTATTTAAAAATATTATTATCATGACAGATTTGCAGAGATGCTCACTTCTACTTGATGGACTATGTTTTCAAGTTAAAAAGATAAGATTGTATTTTCCATGCACATTTAAGGTTATCTAGCAATAGATCAAGGAGAGCCTCCCAATGTCCCCACCCTGAGGTTAAGCACTAACACAGCAGTCTGAGATATAGAGTCTCTTCTCAGCTCTACCTATGGTCCTAATTTGAGGTCATTTCACTTCTCTGGACCTTACTTTTATGTTTATTATTTGGACATGGAGAGGATGGTGGAAGTGAAAGAGGAAGTAGAATTGAAGAGAACACCACAAAGCCAATCTTTATGTGCCGAGGCTGGATATGAACAGTGATTACAGCACATCTGAGCACACATCTCTCAATGAGGATTTGGTTTAGTTTGTAATATTTATAATGATGTTTTGCTGTTACCAGGCACACACAGTGTCTGAAACAGGATTAATACTGCAAATTATCTCGAAGATTACAACAATAAATGTTTCTATAGGAATGAAGAGGGGAATGAGACAAATTTCCGAAATAAAAGAAAAAAGAGATGGACTTGCTACAAGATAGTTGGAGTGACATGTTTTGTTATTTTCAGAGGCTCCTATAATGTTGGTCTCTTTTGCACTGCTGCCTTTTTGTTTCAAGGGCATTCAAACAGTTTTATAAAGTAACTCTCTTGAAAGACCTACATGTGCTTTTTATGCTAGTTGCTTCTCTTCTTATTTCATTCACTGATGTTTCTTATAACTGTTATTTCAGTAATTGCAGTTGCTGCTAATATTCAGCACAATTAAGGGCTTCTATTGAATGGTTGGATATTGAATTTTCTTGTGTTTAGAGCATCTGTTGTTTTTTTGTTTTGTTTTGTTTTCAAACAGCAGTATTATACTTTCAAAAGAAGTGTGGGTTTTTTCCTTTTCTTCTTCAACATATTGTTCTTTCCATCACAGGAAGAACTACAGTCTGTGACATAATTTTACTTTCTTTTTCCTTATATTATAATACTGGTTTTACTGTGCTTTATCATTACCAAAGAAATTGTTAGTAAAGCAGTTGGTTTATCTAGCTTTGTTTGAGATACATGCATTAAAAAAAAAAAAAAGTATTTCTTAATTCCTTTGAGGGTCTACACCGATTTTTCCTTCCCACGCTTGTTGAGTTGAACCTTGTAGATTTGCCATCTCAAAGTTCTCATTCAAATTGATGAAAAAGTGTTCAGGAATTTAAAAGTTGAGCTACTTAATTAGAATACCTTGTGGATGAGATTAAAATTTTTAATGGTACTGCATGAAACAATTACTGTACTGGAATAATTTAATTTTTAATTTCTTTTCTGTAACCAGGAGTAATGACTTCAACTGAAAACTAGTTGTAAATTTAAAAAATGGGTAGAAGGAGCCAGATATAACTGCTGACACAAGCCAGTCATGCTGAGGTGGTCCTGGGAAACTTCAGGGGAAAAAAAAGTCATTGTTTCTTTGTTTCAGGAGATAATCACTGAGGCTTCCTTTCTTGTATTTTAAGCAAGATGAATAGTCACAAAACCGAGTTATCCCACAAAGATCCCCACACTTACTACAGTGTAGAGGCATTGCAGAAAATCTCATCAGGACATTCCATATTTTCAGGAAAGGAAGTGACTCTTCCTTTAACCGAACAATGAAGTTTGACTGCAATACCAATTTTTGAGAAAATATTACTGCTGAATATTACATTAATCTGTTATACATGGTATGCATTTCTAAATAAGAATAGGGGGTCAAGATATGAGAAAAACATCAATAGTATAGTTTTCCCAATAAGTCAATACAATGACTCTTCATCTTTTATAATTTAGGTTTTCAGAAATCAAGGCTAACTCATTCTTGAATTACTAGACACAGAAGAGGATTCAATATTGCAGCTGAATTGTCTTGTATGTTCCTTCCTATAAAAGAACACTAAGGCAATACTAAGGACTCGATGAAGCTTGTTTGTTGTTTCAGGGTTCAGTAATAAATCCCTTCTTGCAACACTGTCCCTGCTCATTGCCAATCCATGTTAGTCCTAATTGAATTTTTGAAATTTGTTTTTGGTAATCCAAGAATACCTCAGTTCTGTATCAGTAATGATACAGATTAGAAGTGAAGAGCTCTCTTTGATTAATGGACTCAATGATCTTACAGTTCTTTTCCAGCCTAAATGATTCTGTGATTCTATACTGTCTTGTACTTCCCATTACAAAACTGTGTATATCCTAATTGGCATTATATCAAGCTGTATGCTTTCAGCAAGTCCTTGTACAGTAGACCTTGTGGTATTATACAGAAATTAAACATGTATAAAACATGGTTTATGGACCTTGGACTTCTGAAACATAAGAGGGCAACACCATCAGCAATTTCTGCCACTTTATGCCAAGATGATTACAGGAAAAGAACAGAATGAGCAATTTTTGTTCAGGATTTTGATTAATTACAACAGAAAGTAAGTTTATAGTATCACTAAATGACATAAAACTACAAAATCCCACTCCTCTCACCCAGATCTGATGGCAACATGCCTGGCTGGGACAGGTAAACAGTTCACCTGCTTGGCTCCAGAGAGCTGGAGGCAACGTGTGAGGCAGGGCATCAGGCACCTGGCTGTCCTCCATGGCTACAGGCAAACTACTAAGGAATAGGAAGCCTAGTTTCCCCATCTGCCATGGATCAGCAGCTCTGGAGAGTACCTCTGAAAATATGTAGGCTGTTAGTAAGATGACAATACCAATAAATAAAATGTGTCATGGCTTATTTTCTCTCCCCGTGGTCTTAGATCACAACCAAATGGCCAAGCTCTCTTCTCTCAACATATAGGAGCCCCTTTCCAGACTATCCCAGGTCTGTGCCACCTCTAAGCTGTATCCAAACATTGTGGAAGAGATGAGGCTCAGCACAAACTAAAGCTGTGCCAGGGCCATGCTCACAAATAAGCAGCGTGGACGGGTAAGTGCCCACGCAAAGCCTATATCCTGATCCTACCCAGTTTACAGTAGGGTAGGATCAGGACTTGACAAGCCAAGTCCAGCTCACAGCTAACATCCAGAGGGGCCAGAAGTGATAAGGATCATAACAACATGCAGAAATGACCTGACTGTGTGTATTCCCTGAAATTTTTACATTTTCAAAACCCAAAGCCTGCTGGTAGTGCAGCTTGTGTAGTACACTCATGCAGATGTGTTTCTCTCAAATAAGGACATAAGCGATTTCTGAAAACCCTTAACAATTCCTCTAAATTATGTTAAGTCACATTAAGCTTTACATAAACTGTGTTGGAGCACACATTTACTTCTCAGCAGCGATCTTTGACAGATCACACACATCCATTTGTACACATCAAAATGCCATGTGCAAACAAGTTCAAAGCAGGGATAAAACTGGATAAACCGATACCATATACAAAGAAAAATGTGATCCATTCTTCTCACCTAACAAATGACTTGTTGGGTGGTTTTATTAGCTAAAGCAGACCTGCTGCGTCTTCTGCAAAGCATGTTACGTTTCTGTTCCTAACACTGTATAGTCTTCTGTTTTGTATGAGTGCTGCATGGGTGACTACAGGTGCTAGACACAGAGAAAAGTCTCAACCACGTACCACAGTTTTCTTCGTCGGCCTGATTCCCACAGTCATCCTCACCATTACAGTGAAGTTGCTGGGGCAAACACTTTGTGATGTTGCCACACGGAAAGTAGCCCAGGGGGCACCTGACCCCAGTTCCAGAAACATGATCTTCCAAAGAGTCACAGATGACTAAATGGGAACAAAAAAAAATATGCTTACTTTGTGATGTGTTTAAAGATATTTGATGTTATGCTTTTATAAATACTCATTTACATTTGAATGTGAGTATCAAGCAACAAATACATATTAGTTCATTGGACATTCAATTACAATTAGTATATGAAATAATTGTTAAACTTGGCAAAAAACTGTTATATTGTTAGCTAATTAAAATTTCCTTTGATACACAGCAAACAGGTAATTCCTCCCCATTCATCCTCCTAATAAGATCAAAAGGTTAGTCATACAAGACAAATGACCTAAGGCCACTATTTTAAAGGATTGTTTCTCTTTGCACTAGAAATTAATTAATGATAGCAATATACCAGATAAGTTATAGGTATCCCTGTCTGTGGCAGGGCAGTTGGAACTGGATGATTGTTAAGGTCCTTCCCAACCCACACCATTCTGTGATATTCATTTGTGCTGAAATTTTAGACCCAGATAGAGAGGTCCTTTTATACAAATCAGACATATATTTTTTATTTAATTCTCATTTTAAAGCAGTTTCTAGGTGTAAACCGGGAAAGGATCAAAGAGCAAGACAATTAAGATCAAATCTGTGACACAGTTTTGCTGAAAAATGAGTAAGACAACATAAAGATGCCGTTATGAATCCTTTGGAAGAGTTGTCAGTCTGGTCCAAAAAATGTGGAGATACTGCTTAAAATCTATCAATGTGAAGTTTACATATACAGATGTTGTTCTGCTAAGCCCATGCTTTTTAGGAAGTAGTTTCACAGAACACAGGACTTCATTCAAGCAGTGCTGAGGGGAAAGGCAGAGTGATGCTGATGAGGGACAGCCAAGGCAGCTGGAGTCGTCTACCTGTCCCCTGTCCTTCGACTCTCTGTACTGCAATTACCTACATTTGCAGTTGCCTGATGCCTTAGGGACAAATTCTGCCACCACCACTTTTTCCAGGGTAAGCACAACTGATCTACCGCTTCTGTAACGGATTGCAGGGTGCCAAGTCAGATTTCTTGTCATACAAGACCAATTTCTTCCCAGGAGTATACTATGGAGAGGATTTTAAATTATTCTAGAATGAAATTTGTTCGGTTCACATTTTTGAAGTACTTTCAAATAGGAATATCACTTTCTTATTATAGCTATCATTTGACTTAAAGGATGCTGTTACAAAAAAAAAATTCTAATACAAATTATATTTTAAATTTCATTGCTGTCTTAGAGCACTTGAAATACTCTATACAAACTTTATTAACTGGGATGTGATGCCTATTCAGATAGTAATCTGCTACTTTTGATACCTACCACTATTTTTCCAGGCTATTTTCATAAGTCAAAGTTTAATCTTTCACACAACTTTCTCAGACTAAAAAGGAATATGCTTTTTCACAACACCTGATTTTTTGCACTCATTTTTCCCTTGGACTAAGGGAAATCACCTGAAATTGTATCAAATATTTCAGATTCTTAAGGAGTCTCTTCTGGAAGAACCTTCTTCCAGTTAAGCCCTTGACAGTGTTTTTTACAACTATTTGAAATGTAAGAGCAGTAGCTGCAGAAAACTGAGATAAATATCCTGTTATTTCCATATGTACAGAATTACCTATACTGTCAAAAGCTCCCTGCATAGAAAGTTATATGTTCCAGCTAACAACCACCATATGATTTTGAAAAGTTGATTTGCTTTTATCCACAACTGTGTAACCCATGCAATTACTCAAAGAGCCTTAGTTCCTCATGCCTTTTATGTATAGGTACCAAAAATAAAGCTACATCCTAATCCCAGGGTGAATTCACACTTGCACATTGTTCATAAAGATTTATGCTGTTCTGTACTTGTATTCAGAACATTACCATTAACTTGTTCCACTCAGAAAACAAGTAGCAAAAAAATCTTATGCAGACATAATGTTAAGCAAACAGGGTATGTGTAGTACTTAGTGTCTTTCTGCAAAAAGCTGAGCAGGAAACTGAGGCTCCCTTTAGTGAAGTTATTTGCTATAATCTAAGTAGCTAATGAAATGTCTGGTAAAAGACACCAATGTGGGAAAATTAAACATAAATGAAAACATCCAAAACTAACCATCAGCCTCTTACTCTGCAATCCATTATAGAAGCAGTAGATCAGTTGTGCTTACCCTGTCAAGCTTTTTACCCTACACACTGGAGACATATTTAAACTGATCTGAACTCGTGCTTAAAGGGACTGATCTCCATGCAGTTTAAATTTCAAATGACACCATTTATTTTCTCACAGTACCATTCAATGGAATTTTACACCATGTTCCAAGAATTATTATTCATTAGTCAAATAGTATTAATTCCTGAACTAATTAAGGGATTTGCTGTTGCATTTTAGAAATCTATACTCTTCCACAAAGAATAACTCACTCATAGTGTTTAATGTTTTGAATTCTCTGTACATTTATAGCCTTGATGATATCTATTCCTCTGCATTACTCATATTTTGCTATGTTGGATTACCCTGGCATGTAAATATCTGCCTGGGAAAGGAGATACTAAGACATCAAAACTCAACAGTTCATACTAGTTATACAATCATTGAAAGCACTGGTCTTTGTCCACTGACTTGTTAACATCACTTTGTTTATGCAAAAAAAGACAGAAGTTTGGACTCTGCAGATTGCAGGAGATTTATGTGTGGAAAAACACCAACTCTCTGAGGAAATATTTGGCAAAGCTGACAAAGGTAGACAGGAGATAAGAGAGTAAAATTAATTGTAAAATGCTAGATAATGTCCAAACAATTATGTTCTGCATCAAGGAAGTAAACACACTGTCTTTTATGTGAGGAAATTGATAAAAATAGCAATACAGCAGCAGCAACTAAAATTTGTGCTTATTATTTTGCAAATACAGACTTGACTGACATTGTAGTTTATCATGCCAAGACAATGAACTGTCACTCTATGTTTGTGATGCAGTATTAAAGATGTTGAATTTTCTACATTTGATTGATTTTCCACTATTAAAAGATTGAACTGCTCTTGTTGCATCTTGTTTCTTTTTCAATTTTTTTTTTTAGCAGCTGAAAGAAGAGGAAAAGTGATAAACCTGTGACAGACTTGCTTATATCAGAAGGTTTGCTTTTACATGTATGTCCAAGTAAAAAGGCCTCTTCTTTTTATACTTCCTGCTACCTTCCGCTGACATAGAGATAATTGCATGCATTCCACCTATTCTGTACAAGCAAATTTTTTTCTCATAGTGATCAGTATAAATATTAAAATATTTCCAATGTTTTTAGAACAAATAAAAAATAAATAGGTGAACCAATATCAATACAAAAAGCAGACCCACAATCAAGCATCTTTCTTACAATATAGAAAAATGTCTCAATATAGAAAAATGTTCTCCCTAGTACTGCATCTTCATGATTCTGCAATATAATATTTCTGACTGTCACGTACTTAAGGTCCCCCACCATCCCCCAGTTCTTCTCAAACTTTCAAAAAGAAAAGAATTCATGCCATGTACCTTTTAAGCTTGTCCAGACCTGCTGCTTTAAGACACTTATTGCTATAGCAGACACCTGCAGTGAAGGGGAAAGTGGATAACTTCTCCTGCTAGTCTTTAAATACAAGACTAAATTAACTCTGCTTTCCCTTGTTAAAGGAATAAGTAAGAGTTGGGTTGTCATCTAGTATAGATGGTAGGGCTCTTTCCTTTGTTGCATGGATGCAGAATAACTGGAGAAAGAACATGGTAGCCCCTCTTTAAGCTCTCATATAATGAAATAAAAAGAAGAAATGCATTTGGGAAAGCCAAGAACAAGATGTTCCCAGGAGAACATGGCTTTCCTTCCAAATAAATTGACTCATTAAGCTTGCTGGTTTAGTGCATTCTTTGAAATGGAGAGATTGGGTCACAAGCACTGTTTGAGAAACCAAATAAAGGGACATGTGCACTGTAAGAATGGAGACTTAGCACAATTACTTGTAGCTTCCATAAAACAAGTCAGTATGACTCTGTATGGGAACAGTACTGGCCTGATTCAACTGAGTCATAAGCAATTAAACTAATCAAAGCAACATTACTCGTTGCCTGGTACCTATTAGTCACACCAGTCTCAGCTGTATTGGATATAGATTCAAATAAAGGCATATCATAATATCAGGAAAATATTTTTGTGTTTTCAAGCATTTGACTTGCATGAAACCCATTGCCATGAGTCCAAAATGATTCATGAATTGCACCAGTCAAATAAGCTAACATGTTTTCTTCACTTTGATTGAGTTAGTAGTTTAAAAGTACTGGGGCTGAGGAAATCCAATTGTTTTAAAAAAGGGTCCTTAGATGCCAAGGACCAAATAACGATCATGGCAAGGAAGAATTCACCCTGTACTTACTCTGATGGAAAGTTATTTTACCTAAAAAAGCCCAGGTTATCAAAGAGACTAATGCAAAAATGATGGGATTTTTCCCACGCTCCAATAACTTATTTTAATTGCTGTACCTGTAGACACACTGGGAGATGGGCTGGATCAAGAGAAGACTGAAAATATTCTTTTGAAATACTTGCTTTGAAACAGAATGTTTTCTTCAACTAAAACAGAAGGAGTCAACGAAAGAAACATTGAAGTTGAAATCGATTTTGCCTGTCATTTTTGTGTCTGAATACTTCAAGATGATTAAAAAATATCCCCTTCTGCTGAAAGGTATGTTAAAGGCAGGTGAACTGGCTTTGAAAAACCTTTAGCACAATATAGAACAGACCTCATAGGCCCTATAACCTTAATTTTCAAAGAAAATCAAGTGACAAGTGGCTGAACAACTTTGATCAGAAGCATTCAAATCACCAAATGACAGAAAAGAAGATATGACATCTTAAAAACTTTTTAAAAATAATTTGTTGTCTAAATTTTACCATTACAAGAATATCTAGAAGTGAATGATATTTAATTCTTTCTTACATTAATTTTTCTGGGTTTGTACAGATTTTTCAGCTTCTTCCCACTAAACAAGGGATTTTTGAGTAA